TCCATCATGTTCTTGAGCAACTCCACTGAGGAACTCGCTGCCGTCGTAGGGGTTTTGGTCCCCTTGCCCTTCCTGCTCTCGGTTTCCGTCTTGGTCTGGTACAACTCGATGTCCTCGGCGCTCTGTTGCTCCAGCCAGTTTGCCAGACGCAGGAGGCGGTAATCCGCCGTCGCCGTCTTGGCCGTGCGAAGCACCCAGTCCTTGTAGGCCGGGTAGAGCACCAGGATGTCGCGGTACTGCTGGTTGCTGTGCTGCCCGAAACCGACGTAGTCCTCGGCAGCAGGTGTGCTGACATCGTAGAGGCGGCGGAGGGCCGCTTGTTCCATCGACCACATGTTGTGGTTGCACCTCATGTCCACTCCAATCTCCTCGCAGAAGGTGGTCAGCGTGCTCTTCTTGCGCGCTGCCACTCCAAGCGCCTTGATCTTCTCCTGGAGGTCTGTGATCTTCTTGGTCGGCTTCTCCGCCAACGAAGGTTCGAGCTCCAGGAGACGCTGCGCCAGCTCCTTCTTGGTCCAGCGAGTAGGCGGTTCCTCGCCCAACTTCCGAAGCTTGGTCTGGAGCTCGGCCTTCCGGAACTTCTGGATGTCCATCTCGCTGAGGGCGTGGAGCGGGGGATGCTGAGGTTATCACGCGTGGTTCCTGGAGGCAAGCCTTTGAGGAACTGTGGCTCGGCATCGGTTCGAGCTTCCTGTCTTCTGAATTTCCTAACTCAACAACCCTAGCACCATCATCATCACCCAATTCGTCATCATGCTCTCTTGAAATGCGACTGGTATCATGTTGGCATTGCTTTGCAACGCCCCCCATGCCTGAAAACTTCTCTAACACTTCTTTCCCGCCAGGCGAACAGTAAGAAGTGCGCTGTCCCTACTCGTGGGCCACTGTCTGTACAAACTCCCTAAGGCTCGGAATCGGACGTTGGGAAGGCTTCGCATTCGAATAAAAATCCTCGGTGAGCGGCAGGAGTTGGTGGCCTGTGGAAGACCGAGTCACCGTAAGCACCTTGTGAGGGTCCACCGCTCGGAAGCAGACCAAGTCCGCCTCGAAGTCAATGATGGCTCCCAAAGATCGGAGGGAGGCCGCCGAAAGGAGGATGGGACTTTCGCCCCGGTCTAGGGCGTGGATGGACAATTGTCCTCGTCTGTCCCCAGCACTAATGCCAAGTTCCACTGTGCTGGCGCATCGGTCCTCGGTTGAGTTTCCGAAGCCGAACAAGGGGGTATTGTCCAGGTCCACGGTCAGAACTCGTGAGGTCCCATACTTCTTCGCATTGATGTCCATGACATTCTGAATGGCGGTGACGGACCCCAAGGTCCGTGTGGCTCCTCCATCGATAACGGCATAGCCCGCCTTGACAGCTTCTCGTGTCGTGATGTAAGCTCCTTCATCCTGACCTTGCGTCGCCAGGGCTTGGTCTGAGAAGCAGACAAACGGTGCGGACTGCGTAGAGCTCGAGGAGGCGGGAGTCCTGGATGGTCCGGGGCAATTCGCTGCCCTGTGCCCTTTAACTCCACACTTCAAGCACACCATTTGTGAATCGTCTCGAGGTCGGCTGAAGTTCGAGGGCTTGTAGTACTTCCGGGCCAAGCGCACTGCTGACTGCTTGGCTCTGGCCTCTTTGAGGGTGCGCTTGGCATTCTGGATCACCGCATGTGCTTGCTCAATCTCCTCGGCCGCTGCTGTCCACAAGGCGAGCTCGTCTGCGTCGAGGTCCTCGGTGTTGAACCCCTCTTCATAGGCCTCGTCGTCTTCATCATCCTCCTCGGCCACGGTGCCGAGGTAACTGGTAGGCCGGTGCTCACGCCGATGCTGTTCCACATCATGAAACTGTGTGCGCAATTCCTGCGCCACTCGCTGCAGTGAGAAGTCATTCTGCACCGCCGTCTGTACGAGGTTGCGTTCGGCCTGTGTCAGGCCTGCATCCTGTAAAAGGTACCAACCTTGGATGAACTCGGGCAGCAATTCCGGGAGCGGCCGAGCTGGCGCCGTGGCGCCAGATGTAGTGCTCCACGGCTTGCGGCTCCACCCGTAGTCGTAACCCCAGGAGTCCCAGGGGCTCCATGTAGATCTGTGCCACCACGACTGTTGGCTCCAGTTGTCTGGATCCGTCCTCTGACTGTTCTCACTTTGCTCACTAGCGCCCTCATCCTGGCCACCGGTGTTCGGGGTGGCTGTTGGGGCCGCTGCCTGTGTGGCGGCCGGTGCTTCGGGCTCTGCCTCCCAGCTGGTTGTGTTGGAATCCCAGCTGCTCCGGCGGCTCCCATAGTTCCAGGTACTGCTGTTGTGCCACTGCTGTGATCGGCTGTCATTGCCAGTGGTCACCTTGGTCTTGTCCTGGTGGTACGGGGCAACTCGCTGCATCGCCTGACAGGCCCGGAGGTATACCTCGCATTTGCGAGAGATATACTCGTTCATCGTCTCCTGATGCCGCCTCCGCCCTTGGCGGAAGTAGCGGTTCAGGTAGTCTGTCATTTCCGGGATTTGCGGGCGACCAAGGCAAGCGTGTAAATGCCGCAGGAGGGTATCGACCCCTTGGTCGTTGGATAGCCATGTGGTAGGCTGTCCGGCGATGTGTCTTTTCGCAGACCCAGTCAATTCCCCAACTAACTTAGGTCCCACCAAGTAGCGTTTGTACGTTGGTGTACTCTGTTCGTAGTTCAGGCACTGCTCGGAGTACTCCTCAAAACTGGCCGGGTTTCCGTCCCATGACGGCACCCCGTCCTTGCTTCTTGTAACTGCAGATGCTGCCATGCTTGTAATCTCGTACCGGTGTTCACGGGCACGAGCTCACTTCAAGGTCCCTGGATCTGGAACCCAGTCCCTCCTGACTGGGCTCCGCTACCATGCAAGCGCTGGCAGCTCCGACTTGT